GTAAGTCTTCTCTTTTTCTGTGATCATCGCATCGGCAAAGTCCCAAGATTTAAAAGTTTTTAAAGTAAATCTTTTGTCCTTCAAAATACAATCCATATTCGAACTTTAAATAATTTAGAGATAATAGAAATATACAAGGATTTTATATACTAGTTTGTTTTGTTTTATAAAGAAAAATACATATTCATTAGTAAAAAATGGAGACTGTCATTAAACTAAAACGTGCCTTAGTATTTATTTAACGGAACCTGTAATGTGCGCGTGCATAATAAAACCTCCGTTATATAAATATATTCAGCGTAATATTAGTGTCATCAGCGGATGTTGTAGTCTACTCATGATTTCTTTACCTTATAATATAACTTGATTTATGAAAAAAAAAAACTTATTGAATCGCACGCAGAAGAATTTTAACAAATTGTCTTCATTCAATATTGAATCTTTACCTTATATTATAACTTGATTTATGACAAAAAAAACTTATTGAAACGCACGCAGAAGAATTTTAACAAATTGTCTTCATTCAAATATTAATATTGCGAGTAACAGGTAATTTTTTTTTCTGTGCCGACCCTCTCCCCCGCATAACTTAAACTATATACTAATAAACTAATAAGAAAAGCTATATACTATTAAACTAACTATAAGCTATATACTATTAAACTAATAAGAAAAGCAAAGACATTTTTTTTAACATCTCGAAAAAATGTCTTGATATTTTTGTTATCATGATAACAAAAATATTAAGACATTTTTTGAGATTTTATTAAAAAAAATGTCAATTCTTAATTACAAATTTTTTTGCAAATGTTTTTTATTATAAATTCAGTAAAAAATTCATAAAAAATCTATATTACAAAAAACTTTTATATTCTGTATTAATAAATATGGAATATAGATTTTTTAAAAGTTTTTTACTAAAAACTTTACTACTTTTTATTAAAAACATTGCAAAAAATTTGTAGTTAAGGATTGACAAACAATTTTTCATGTTGCTAAATATTTGGATAAAAAGTTTAGCGTCAAATTAATTGCTATAAAAAGGAAAGATATATCGCGATGAAAAGTTACAACAATTAATTTTAAAGTAAATTCTTTTTTTTAATAAATACCTTTACATATCGTTATTTAAAAGTTAATGTGGTTTTTTTGAAAATTAATTACTTCTTTTATGTTACCGCTAATTTAAAAGTTAAAAAATGATAAAAAGTAGCTTAACCAAAACAGCTCTACGCGTACGTAAAAAGCGCTTAAGGCGTACGTAAATCGCTCTAGGCGTAATGCTTTAAAACAAGGCCTGGTTTACATAAATGCATGTGTTAATTAATAAAAAATGTTATACAAAAAACTTAATATTAATAAAAAATATTAATAAAAATCTTTTAAACAAAAATTATATTTTTTGAAAGTTTTTTTTTTTTTTAATTACGATAGGAATAAATGAGTTTAAATTTTTTATAATAACTTAAGTGCTTATTAATAAAGTTGTAATGCTCAAATTAAATTGCTTGTTGGTGGTTTATTTTATTTAAATCGCAGACACATTTTGTTATTTATTTTTTTCCCCTATAAAAAAAGTTTAAACCTTTTTTTTAAACTTACTAATTAAAGCTTGAAATTATTAAAAATTACAACATTATATACAACACTTTTTAATTTGATAAAATTTGATCATTTATTAAACAATCATTAGAAGTAATTTATTACTTAATTTAAAAGCGTTTTGCATAACTTTAATAAAACGTTTAAAAAAATAAGTTTTAATAACATTTATTTCAATTAAATATGTAACAAAATGTTTTGCTTCGAGTTAAATTATTTTTTTTATTTTAGTGCTTATATAATTTCTTTTTTCGTAATAAATTTTTTTTCTTGACTTTTTTTGTTAGGATTTTTTTTTTCAATAGTTTTTTTTAACTTTTTTTTCTAGTTTAAGTTTAGCTTGGCGTTTCTACATTCAGCGCATTTCTGAAATGTTTAAATCATAAAAACATTTAAACAATCGTGGTCAAGTTGTCAAAAAATAAAACCATTTGCGTGGTCAACAATAGCGCTTGATCACACACCATTCCTTTCTAAGCCTGCACACACACACACACACCCATCAGAAATAAATTTCATTTTGGTTAGATTGGTTTTTAACAACAACCATGCTGAATAAAAAAAGCTAAAATATACAACAGTCTTTTAAAAAAAACTTTTAAATAACTAATGTAAATAACATCAAGATTAATTAAAAAAAAAATTAAAGTTAAAAAAGTAAAAGTAATTAATTAAAAAAAGTTTGTAACTTTTCATAACATCAGCAACCACTTATTTTAATTTATTTAATAAAAAAAATTTAGTAGAATGGTTCAAAAAAGCAGACTTTCAATTTTAAAATTATATGGTCGATTGTGAAGAAAAATGTCTTAATTTTATTTTATTATACAGATGAAATAACATCAAGTTCTTTTTTTTTTCAGAAAATTTTTGTTACTTTTTTTACTTAAATTTTTCAAAAATTTAAAGTTAACGAGTTTATAACATTAAAATTTTTTTTTTAAAAAACATTTTTTTAACATTTAAAAAAAAAATTTAATTATTCACAAAAAAATAACTTATTGACAAAAAAAATTAAACTTTTTTTTTGTGAATAAGTAATCAAATAATACAGACTTCATTGTTAAAATTTGTCAAAGAATAACATAAAAACTTAAGTTTTTATAAGTGATTTTAGTCAACAAGATCATTTGTATTTTTTAAACAATATTATCGAATTAATTTTTTTTTTTTCATATTTTATTTGGTCATTTTTTTCATATTTAATTTGGTCATTTTGATTTTTTTTTTTTTTTATTACATAAAGACACTCTTTAATACAGTGGCTGAGTGTATAAAAAAGTTTGTATAAAAATTACGTTTGATATTTGCGCAATTTACAAATGTAATAAATTAAGGAAAAAAATAGATTTTTAAAAATTTTTTTAACTTATGCATCAATTGTTCAGCAAAAGAAAAATAAAAAAAATAGTAAAAAGATTTTGTTGAGAAGAAAAAAGACAAAATACTTTTTTAAAATAACTTTGAGCTTTACTTATGTTTTTATATTAATGAAGCGCATTTAAATAAAGTAACAAATCACTGCTAATGATTTTTTATAAAAATAATAATGAATAATATATATGTATATATTTTTATATTTATATAAGTATGTGCTTTTAATTATGTCTTTACATTTGCTTCCTTATTAAGCAATCGTAAGATATTACTTTTAATATAAAATATGTCGCTTAATAATATATAAAAAATGTTGCTTAATTAAAAAAAAAAATTAAAGAAGAGCGATGTTTCAAAAATATTTGTTCTAAACGTAATTTATTTTGCTTTAAGTGTTTTTGCGTTAAAAGTTATTTTAGTTTTTTAGTTTTTTTTTTCTGCAATTGTCTCTCATTAGCCCAGTTTATCTTTTTTGCGCTTTTTTTGTTTTGTTTTTTGAAATGTTCTCAGAACAACTAAAATATTTGGCTAATTTTTCACAACTAAATATTATTTCCGTGTCAGTAATCGAGAGTGATCGCTCCTGCTTTCTGACCAAGCCTGATTCTGACCCCTCCAATTATTGTTCAATCAGTCTTCTTTCTGTTATTAGTAAGGTCTTTTGATAATGCGTTTTTGATAAACAAATTTCTCACATCCCATCTTGAGCCAACTTGCTGTCAGACAATCAATGCGGTTTTCGATTCTCTTGCTCTATGGCTTACTTGCTCACTGCTGTGACTGAAAGATTTTATCGTACATTAGATGGAAGCAGAGTGGTTACGGCTTATGCTTTTGACATATCTTAAGTTTTCTACACAGTTAGGCATGTTGGTCTTTTCCATAAGCTTGTTTCATATGGTGTATCTGGGAAAGTTTTTGAGATTATCAAATCATTTCTTTCAAACTGCTTATTAAAGTCATCCTCGAAAGCCAACACTCTTCTTTATTTCCAGTAATTTCTGGTCTACCTCAAGATTCTATCCTTGGTCCTATTTTGTTTCTTATCTAAATTAATGGTCTTCCCAACAATCTTACATCTAAAGTAGCTCTTTTTGCTAATCACTCAACTTTTTACTCTTGTCTTGACAAAAAGTTTTTTTTGTCAAGACAAAAGGTCTCAGTTATTTACTGTAAACAACTGTCTCAGTACTGTCAACATTCCTATATTGATAAATGGCAACCCTCGTACTGATTCTTCTTCTTTACGTTTTCTTGGATTTTTATTTACTACTGAGGTTTCATGGAAACCATTTATACAATCAATTGCTAATTCTTAGCATCTGCTAAGGTTGCTTCTCTTTATCATGCTCACCATTTTCTCTTTCCTGATTCCATTCTCTGCCTCTGCAAATCTCTTATTTGTCCCTGTATGGAATACTGTTGTCATATTTGGGCTGGTTCTCCTAATAATGCTCTTTCTTTTCTAGACAAGGCCCAAAAACACATTGTAAACGTAGTTGGACCAGGTCTACCGGCTAAGCTTGAGCCTCTTTCCCATCTTCATAAAGTTGTATCTCTTTCTCTTTTCTACGAAAATTCTTTGCTCAAAGGATCTTTTATCTCTAGCTCCATCAACAAAAACTCATTTCTCGCTTGACTCATCATTCATCAAAGTCATTTACTAAATATATATATATATATATATATATATATATATATATATATATATATATATATATATATATATATATATAGTGCATTTTAAATAAAATTGCCCAGCACGATATTTTGCGTTTGTAATACTGAAATTTCTTATCAACTAGCATGATTATGCGCATTCTGCAACAAGTCAAGCGATATTCAAAGTTGCCATAGGGCCATTCTTAAATTATGTATGCAGTTATGTGGAGGGGGTCACTCAAAAGCCAAGAAAAGTCAAAGATATAAAAGGAATATGGCATAAATTAGTGAAATTAAATTATTGTGACAATTGAATGAAAATTAGAGCAAGTTAATTTTTTTAATTTTGTTATTTTTAGTGTTGATCTTAGCAATTGTAAGTTACAAAACCTGGACATGTATCGGAATAATTTATTAGACATTCAGAATATTCAATGGCTGTATGGTATTTTTTTTTTTTTTTATTTTGGCTTAAAATTTTTAGTTGTTTTGACGCTAAAATTTTGGTTGTTTGTTTCAGCTTATGAAAATTTGGTTTTTTTACTGTCATATAATTAGTGCTATTATTTTTAAATAATAAAAGGCTGTTTTAAGTAAGCTTAAAGGGATTCCAAACCTCCGAGACATGTTGTGTTCATATTAAAGAGAATGATTTAAAAAAAATGTTTGGACTAAATTTGTTAACATAATGGATCTCTTACACAAACAAAAAAATTAATGACGTCATATAGTGAAACTACACAACATGTCTCGGAGGTTTGGAATCCCTTTAACAGTTTCTTGTCATTTTTCTCCTCGAATATTTACTTAAAAAGAGTTACTAATACTTTTATAACTTTTGAAATATTAGATATTTTTTGTTCTGTAAAAATAATATCAACACCAATAAAATGTTTTATCCTATGATATTTTTTATTTTTTTTTATTTTGATTCACTCCCAACAAGACTGCAAGCAACCACTATTCAGTTAGGAGTTACTATAAAAATAGAATAGAGTTATAGAGCAAGGAAATGGTTGACAGAAGTTTTAGAGTGTATGAGTCAGGAAAATATAAAAATGGAAGAGAATCCCAAAGGGTTGAAGTGCAGGAAAAAATACTTAAATAATAAAAGTTGTTAGAGTATGCAGGGACAGATACAGTAAAAGGATGAGACTTAGCTGAATGACAATGATAGATTGAGTTTTATTTGATGGAACTAGATGATAGCTACTTTAACCAGCAACCATGATAGTATTTGTAGAAAAGAGAAATAGATGCAACTCTAAAATAATGGGAAAAGGTTCAAGCTTAGCAGTTAGCAAGCTTTCCCAAGAAATGCGTGCAGTTTTTGTCTTGTATGTCTAGGCATGAGTGTTTTAATTTTAGACAACTTGGTCATAGTCTTTTGCACGTTTTATTATATTAGGCGTTGCAGGAAAGAAAAAAGTTTTAAAAGTAAAGAAAGCAAAACTAACAAAGTATAAAATTAAAATAAATTTAAATATAGCAAACTAAAAAAAGTTTAAATAATTTAAATAAATTGTATACTGTTTTTATTTTTGTTTCTTTAGAGTGGTTCTTATTTTCAGCAAAAAAAATTTGATAAAGCAAAGCAAAAAAGCCGACATTAAAAAGAATGATTTTTTTTTAAGTTTGTTAAGTTTTTTGTTTTCAAAGAGGAAAGCAAAAATATAAATTGCTATCTGTTTTTAAAATATATTTGTTTAATTTTAATGTAACAAGTATATATTGTCCCTATATGAAAATACAGGGACAATATATACAAGTATATATTGTCCCTTTATTTTCTTATAGGGACAATATACATACATAGTTTTTAAGCTTCAATTAAGCCATGTTGTCTCCATATTTTTTACTGGTAATAAGATCAGTCCCATGAATAAGAGATGGAATGTAAGACCTACCCTTGTTAATGACGCTGTTGAAGATTTTCCATAAGTCTAAAGAGCCTAACTTCTAAGGTAAGATATGAGGTTTAGTGAACTGAGAATTATGGAGCCCAGCATCAGACCATTCATGTCTGAATCCAGGATGTTATAACTAATTCTTGCATCATTAAAAATTCAAATTTGGTCTTAAGAGAGTTGTTTTTTGAAAAAGATGAAATAAATAATTAGATTAGATACAGCAACCGCTCAAGGAGTTGAAAACCATAGAGTAGATGGGGCTTGACTTGTAACCAACAAGAAAGAATAAAATCTTCCATTCCTGTCTGAATTTAGGATGTTATGCAGGAAGCACATTTATCAGCTGAGACATAAAATACATCAGCCCAAGGGCTATTGCAAAGAAAATCACGAAAAGAATTCCAGTCAGCTTTAGGATAGTAGTAAGTAGTGCGATGATAGGAAGAGTCCAAAAAGGAAGTAGAAGATGAAAGATTTATAGAGATCATTGCATGGTAAAAACCACCTAAGGGATAAAAAAGAGAAACTGAAAACAAGCTAGGATCAGAAGAAAGATATAAATCAAAAAGTGAAGGTAAATGATTAGGGTTGTCAGGAAAACAAGTCACAAAGTTAACTATCTGAGTTAAAGATTAAGAAATGCAGAAGTTACAGGCTTTAGTGCCAGCAGAGTCAGTGGAGTTAGAGCCAAGCCATTCAGGTGATGAGCACTAAAGTCACCATTAAAAACCATATTGGCAGAGGGGTAAAGAGAAAAGGCATTGTCAATTTTATCAGAAATTGCATCCAAAAGAGTGCAGTCTCTGCAGGAAGAAGGAGCGTGATAATAAATAAATGGTCAAAGAATTGGAACCTGATTTCATAACAAATAAGTGAATTGATGCATATGTGTATCCCCAAGCCAAGCATGTGACTTGCACTTGCAAGTTTGTGGCTCATCAAAAAAAACTTTAAATTGTCAAAAGAAAGTTTTTTTCTAGCTACAGGCATTCTTTTTTTTTTTAACCTTTACAGCAGCACCTTCTAGAGTAGCAGGACTGTATTATTAAGTTTTTTCTTTATTAAGTTTCAGACAATTTTTTTTCATCCATCTTTTCAGACAATTTTTTTTCATCCATCCATTTTTTTTCATCCAAAGCTTATTAGACTTAAACAGCTGAGCCTTGTGGTATAAAGATAAAGATACTTGAAATAAAGAAGAGTGTAGGCCTTCAAGAATAACTTTAATACTGCAGTTAGAAAGAAATAATTTAATAATCTCAAAACCTTTATATAAAGAAACTAATAACAAGGTGAAGGCTAGTCGTTGGATAGTTAGAGAGGTCGAAGTGTTTTCTAGAGTTTTGAAAAATTGGAACCACTTAGCACTTTTTAAAAGCTTAGCAAAAATTAAATAGAGTTCTGAAAAATACTTTTTCAAGACTATAATCTTGTCTGGAGCTATATTGTCTGAACTGTTTAATTGAAAATTAAGCATCGGAAACCAAAGTGATTTGGATGTTTAACAATGGGTTAACCTCTTTAAATGGCAGAAAGAGTATGGCCATTAGATTCAGCAGAATAAGAGTAAGAAAACTTTGAAAATAACTCTGCTTTATTCTGAGAAGTAAAAAGATCAGATCCATGAATTAAAGATTAAATGTTAGGCTTACTTAAAAGGATCCCAAACTCCCAACACATGTTGTGTTCATATTAAAGATAATGTTAAAAAAAAAGGTTTGAACCAAGTATTTTTGATTAATAAATTAATACTCAATGTATATTCTAAGAAAAACTAATGTTGTTGTTTTAACCGAAGCTTGCCTTCTCCATTTTTTTCAATAACTCGGAGTCTTCAAATTATGTTGCAATCTACAGACTTAAGCGATTTCTATGAAGCGCTTTTTATTCATAAAAGTTTTTATTTGACGTCACGGTAGACTTTTAACAAATGAAAAGTCTAATTACACCAAGTACGATGTAGTATTTTTTTTAATATACAGCAAAACAAATTTATTTGTATTATTTTTCCAAACATTGAAAAAAAAATTTTGTAAAAAGTAAAAACAATAAATTATTTTTATTTTATAGGAGCAACTTATTTTTTACAGATATCTTAATCATTTTTAGATTTATATATCTTACTTAGATTTCTATTGTTTTTAAATTAAAACAAATATTAAAACTTGCTTTATCAATTTTATGATTTTCATACGAGTATTTTACATTATATAGAACGTTTTATATAGGGTCTCTCGTTTTTGTGCAAGAGAGCGCAGTATTATATATTCTGACTCTTACTTATTTTTATTTAAACAATGGGAACTATTTTCTAACTTCTGGTTATTTTTACGCTATGATATTTTTTGTTTTCTTGTCGAAAAAAAGTATTTATTAACAATTAATTACATAAACGGACAGTATTAATTAGAGATATTTGATGAGTTGTTAACTTTTTTTATTATAAAATTTTTTTGATTACGCTGATTTCATTTAAATTGCTAAATTTGCTAAATTGGATACGGATAAGAAGGAAATATCATTTTATTTTACATTTGATTTTTGATAATGAAATTTTTAAAATGTCAGCAACTCCATACCAATTAGAACCTGTTAAGATTATGAAAAAAAAGTACAAGAATACACTAAAAAATACAGTTGACAGTAGTAACAGATATGAAAATTCGTGAAAGGATTTGTGAGATCCTGGTTTTGCATTAAAAGTACAATTAATAGCAACACAAGTCGGCATTATAATTTTTGATTTTAAGTTTACTGTTCAATATTTTATAACCATCAAATTAAAAACATGAAGTTCGTATATTTTTGCATGTATTATACAACAATATTTAACAAAAATACGGACAAATTATTATTAAATAATGCAATAATTAACACATTAATTAATAACAATAATTCAAGATAGATGGTAATTTAAATTGTCAAAATGTCATAACGCGCATTAAAAAAAATTTATATTTGGTATTTCCCAATTTGTGTCGTATTTGGCATTTGTCTCTTAACATGCAAAATTAAAAAATTTTTAAAAACATAATTAACAAATACAAATTTTCAAGGAATTTTCTCTTCCAATTCTCATTTATTCAAAGAAAAGTTATTATTAAAGGGATCCCAAACTCCCAACACATGTTGTGTTCGTATTAAAGATAATGTTAAAAAAAAAGGTTTGAACCAAATTTTTTTGATTAAAAATAAATAATGAATGCATACCGTGAAAAACAAATGTTGTTATTTTTGCTGAAGCTCGTCTTCTCCATTTTTTTCAACTACTCGGAGTCTTCAAATTATGCGTCGCAATCTACAGACTTTGGCAATTCCTTTGAAGCGCGTTTAATTCATAAAAGTTTTAGTATTTGACGTCACGGTAGACTTTAAACAAAAGAAACTCTGGAAATATTTTTATTTATTATTAGTCGAAGTTTTTTTGGTTATTTGTTTAGTTTTTTTTTTTCTCCTTTTAATATTTAAAAAGATATTAAAAACCTTAAATATTTTATGCTGGTTCGTTGCTATAAATTGTTATTGCGCCA